TGTTTGTCTTAATATTTTATTTCCAACCACGTAAAGGAAAGAAAGGGAGTTGCGTGATCTATTAGATGTTTCTATTTTTGTTTTCAAGATATAGCTGGCGTTTAAAAGAACTTGCCGTGCGGCGTAGTCTGAGCTAAACATGAAATTTCAAGATAGAAAACTTTGAAAAAATTCAGAAATATTTACTATAGTAGCTGTGCTTTTTGAATTTTGTTTTATAAAATGGAGAATTCGGGCAAACTCTCGATAATTCAAATTAGTTAAACATTTGTAGCTGTAAAAGTTTTTAAGGAAATCGTGTAACAGAATTAGAAAGAAAATCTTTATCCAAATTTATTTTTCTCCAAATCAAAATTCTTGACCAGTAATCTTGAAGCTCTATTCCCCGAGTTAAAGGCCAGAATTCCGCGAGTCAAAATAGAAATTCGAAAAGGAAATTATAAAGTTCTTACACTAGTTGACTGGTATATTAACTAAAATACAAAGATATACTTAGTTACTGATTAGTTAAGAAACTTAAAATATGATGGTCACATGTCAAAGAAAATGATGTGCAACGGTGTAAAGAATTAAACAGTGTTCTAATGGAAAATGAATTAAATTTAGACGACAGTGTAAAACGTATACAAATTAAGCACCTTTTTCAATTGAAGAAAACTATAAGAGGATATTTCCGAGAAGAAAGTACTAAATATGGCTGGATAAAAAGTCCTTCCGATATTACGATAAATCAGTAAGATTGCCAGTGAAGGAAAGGGGGCAGACAACTTATTAACACATCGCCATTTTCGAAGTTGAAATCTAAATTTAAGCAAGAAACTTAATTTTTGGGTGTGATTCATACAGAATGCTTAGAAATTTCTCATACAGCTTTAAAACATTTTAAATGCTATTTGGAAAAATGTATTTAAGTGATAAATCTCTTTCAACATACATGGCAACAAAATATAGAAATAAATTAAATGCAGAATATGAAGTGCGACTGCAGATAACATCAACAGAGCTAGATTTTGACAGTTTATGTAAAAAACGAAAGTACACGCCTATCACTAAATATAGGGCAAGGTTAAAGGGCATCTGGAACACGAATTAATGCTATCAATGGGTAAATTACATTATTTTTACGTCACAATGTTTTAATAAGAAATACAATACTTTTCTTTAATTGCCTTTAACTGAAGTGCCTATACCATATTGATCTAGTTTAAAGATTATTTTAAGATATATTTTTCTAAGGACGAGAAGGAGGTTCCCGAGCCAAACTTACAGTTCTAGGGCAGTTCTAGGGGTTCTGTGAGCTGACAAAGTTTGAAGACCACTGTTCAGGAGAATAATGTTTTAAAAATGGAGGTAATCCAAACATTTAGTGTAGCAAAGTGCGAAAGAAGCATACAAATGGAGTAAATTGGGGAAAGAGATTGGTGATCATGATTATAAGCATAATAATCTGAATGACTGGAAAAGGTAGTTTGGAAAATTTTAACAACATTGTTTTGAGGCTGTTAACAACTGAAAGAAGCTCCCTGCCAATAGAAAAGGAAAAAATGGAGAAGGAAAAAAATCTATGGAAAAGGGAAATCGCAGGGGAAATAAAAGATGGCATTGAAAGGCAACAAGTATCTAACATTATCTATTTAAAATCAAAAGAAATAATATACTAATAGAATGTAAATAAATAAATAAATCTGAAGGTTAAGAATAAATAAGGTTTACATATTTAATAGCTATCTAAATCTGAACGGCCTATTCTTATTACATCCCTTCTGAAAATCCGTATTAAGTCTTCAGCTTGAAATCGATCCCATAAATACCGTATTTGCGGACGTATAAGACGCTCTTTTTTTCCTTGAAAATAAGTCTGAAAAACAGGGTGCGTCTTATACGCCGATACTGTGTCTTATATGTCTATACTTATTGCGCCCATGAGTCGTTTGCGAATGGGTCAAAGCTTCATGGGATGCTGTGAAAAAGAGACAGTGGTTAAATGATTTCAGAATTGTGGCATTAGTAATGCACTGGATTTTACAGAGGACAATTTGTTGAGGATTCAGATGCTGATTTAGAAGGGGTTTCAGGTGACTCTTCATTCAGCTCTGGAGATGAGTGTCTGGAGTTTGAAGAAGGAGATTAAAAGGTGTTCTTTCCCAGATAGATTAGGTATTTGCAGAAATATAAATTACTTTGTATTTGTATTATTTTATATTTAAAATACTGTAAATTCATTATAGTGATTAATAATAAAATGATATCCTTCAAAAATGGGGGTGCGTCTTATAGGCCAGTGCGTCTTATACGGCGGCAAATACGGTAATTAAAAATAAAATTTAATAAATCTTTTATGTTTTAAAAGTTGGCCTAGAACCACTATAATATTTGATCTATATTATGTTTTAAGATTTTGAGTTCTTCATTCTTCATTTTCTTTCATCTAATCAGGATTAACAGATTTTTGTAAACTGTAAAATAAAAAATCTAATGGGAACACTACATGTCTTTCTTGCATGGCCTATTAAATGATACACATTTTTTTCATGCACTTCATTTAAACTCATTTCATAGAATTTTATTAGAGATATATTTCTAATTTAATCAGTTCAGTTCTCAATTCGGACAATTCAAGACAAAAATACATAAAAACTCAAAACATCTTCATTAAAAATTGTAAAATACAGTAAAACATAAAACACCAAATACAGTTAAAAGCAGTTAAAAAAACAATTTTTACCATTAAAATTAGATTTAAGCAAAAAAAAAAAAAAAAAAAAAAAGTAATTCGGCCGCAAAACTTAAAGTTTACTTTTAGTTCCACTAGGCGAAAAGACACGGAAGTTGGAGCACTAACTGAATTCACTATTCTACTAAGTTTCAAATGTAAACAATTGGCTACCTAGCTAGGCTTGATATCAAAAAACAACTTTTAAATTGTTGATAGTTCTACAACTATTACCTGCAGATTGATTAAAAGAATACAAACCTTAACCGGAACATAAGAACAACATAATTCAGTCATTTTTAAACCAAAAATGCACAATTTACCAACATATGGGTATAAAAAAAACTGAGCTGACCGAGCCGAGCAACAGTGTGTATATATATATATATATATTATATATATATATATATAATGTTGTATGATCTTAAATTCACTTAGTTCGATAATCGATAATTTACATTCACTCATATGGGTTCACTCATTTAGATACTTCTACTTAAATTAATATTAGGAGATAATATAATCAATATTTCTTTAGTATATATATATATATATATTTGAAGGTAACAAATATTCTCTATTCGTACAAAGCTAATATAATTTAAATTTAATCAAGAAATTTAAATGAAAAAATAAAGATTAATTATTTACAATATCATTTAAATTATAAAAGCATATGTAAATTGAGTGCACGTATTTAAAATCATGAAAAAATGTATAATATTCCAAAAAATTAATCTCAAAGATTTTTTAAAGGAATTTTTAAGACCAAATGAATTAATTTGCATAACTGAATAATTGTTGAGCAGGCAGGAGACAGACTTATCAAGGGCGAGTTGCCTCCAAACCTAACTCTTCAATTACTCACTTCGTGTTTCATTATCCATGTACGCAAGGGTATAGTAAAATTCAAAACCAAAAGTGAAACCAAATGTTGTGAATTAATAAAAACGAAATTTAAACTAGTAAGAATTTTGAGAAAGTTAGGAAGTAAAATGATTAGGAATTAAATGTCAATACAATTAAGAGTAGAAAACCAAATTTTTTAGAAACTCTCGCCTTTTGAAAACTTCCCCCACACGAATTATGCATGTAAACCTATGCAATGGCTCAAGAGAATTATTTAAATTTAATTAAATGTTACTATATTCTTGTGAAACAATATATATATATATATATATATTACGCTTGGTACGGCTCACTGCATCTAGAAAGGGAGGTGCACAACTAGATGTTATAGCAATGTCATATACAAGATTTCGATGTTTTGAGGTAACTCGTTTTTGACTTATGGGAGATACATACATACGTACGTATGTACACGTATGTACATACGTACGTACAGGTACATACGTACAATGTACATACGTACAGGTGTCACGAAAAAATCTATTCTGAATCCATTTTAATCCGTTTTACAATTCGTTTTGAGGAAAAAGTCCGTATGTACAGATGTCACCCAAAATTACCGTTCAAATGGATTCAAAAGCGGTCAAAATGCCTGTTTTGTTTAAATATCATACAAAAATTTTTCACAGTTACAATAATTTCGTTACTTCGTACAAGTAAGTAAAAATATAAAATTAAAAAATTAAAAATAACAAAAAAAAATATTAAAGCTAATTTAATATTGATCTTCAATAACCGAACCTAGTATTTTCACTCTGCACACCACGCATGCACGCACATATTTACATACTGTATGTCTATGACCAACGTTTTGAAAATAAAACCCGAGTAATTAATTTGTGAACTCGATGCATGTATGTTTCTCTTTATAAGAACTATTTTAAGTGGTTACTGTGACAAAAATGTAAGAAACTGATTTAGTGTGTTATCTCAATATGTACAGTCTATCTATCCTAAGGAAAGCTCTCGTCAGTTAGTCTGCAACTGTCTGTTGCCGGAGAAACGAGCCTTGATCCATTTTCCGTAGGAGTGTCTTGAAGACGAATGATAAACTGGGTTCCCCTCAGCCAACAGTAGCCCGAAACAAAATAACAATAAAATAACCCTTGGTTCTCCCCTATTTGAAATATACTAGCCCTGTTCCTATAGCGACCGCCACCCGCCAGACACTGTGGTGGGACTGTTCTTCTCGTAGACAGAGAGTAATTTCTTTTGTCTAGCAGGTAAAATATTTATTTTCTGAGGCGAAATAGGAATTGCTGGGTAAGAGATAAAATTGCTGACTATTTGCAATGAATCTTTCTAGAATGAAGAACAAAAGTGATACCTTGTGTCTAAGTTTTTAATTTTTTAACATTTATACTCTTTTTCTTTCCAGGTTCTGGTCGAAGTAATGTGTTTAGGTGGAATGAAAGATTTAGTTTTCAAGTCGGCAAAGACCTGCTCTTGCTATCATTGTAAAAAAGAATAAAGCTACCCAAAGTGAGATTGCTGAATTTATACGAAGCAACATTTTAATCTTACTTATTTCCAGCCAAGAAAACTTACGGATGTTGGTATCGAATTTCGACATGCAAGTTATTTTTTGAAAATGACTTACTGTGAACGTCATGTATGTATGGTCACAGAATGTTATTATTGTGCCAAATAAAGGTTTTGTGCAGCTAGTTTCCGAAATGTTTCTTTTCTTATTTTAAGGGGAAAAAAAAACCCCAAAGAACAAAAATTTAATATTTTCAGTTAGGAAATGAATTTAAACAACTTCTATTATTGATATGTATCTAGAGCAACGGAACCTTAAACCTTAGTTTGCGGGGACCATTGCTCCCACTAACGATTTCACGTGTGCCCGTCGATGGACAACCATGTTAAAATTTTACTCTTTTTTAATAAAATATTATATTCATTTTTTATAGTTAGTAAGTAATTAAAAGTGTTTAATAACCGCATTTGCTTAAAGAATTATTTGTCTATAACTTTATGTTTATAATTATAAATGAGCTTACTTATACGTCCCGGTTTGACAGGGATTGCCCCAGTTAGAAGGTATGGTCCCGGCGAATTTGTCATTTTGACCGTGTCGTTTGTTAAAAACTAAAGAATGTTAAATATTATTATTTTGAACAAAGACTATTGTAGAGACATTAGGATTTTTTGGAAGCAAGCAAGATGAAAACTGAGCAATCGCCTTCGCCGGGAATCGAACCACGGACCTCCGGAATATCGGACCAGCGTGAAGAACCACTACACCACGAAGGTACATTAGGAAGGCGGGAGAAATACCTTACATACTCCCCCTTTTAATGGGCGACTGGGGTTTTTCATCACCAAATCCTGGGTGTGGAGAAACCTCATCCAATACTCTTTTAGTTCCGGCGCCACTGTAGAGACATTAGGTTTATTTCGGAAGCAGGTAAGATGAAAAATTAGGAAACGCCTTCGCCGGAAATCGAACCACGAACTTCTGGAATACCGGCCCAGCGTGCAGAACCACTACACCACGAAGGCACGCTAGGAAAGCGGGAGAAATACCTTATACTATAATAAAATCAAAGTACAGATTTCGACTTAGAGATGAATATTTTGACGACTGCTTACGCGTAGAAATATCATTATACGCTCCACATTTTGAAGTAACGGCCTAGAAAATGCAATGCCAAATAGCATATTGGCTTTACGAATTGCATTTTTATGAAGAATGGTAAAGCAAGAAATTTGAAGAAATGGTAAAGCAAAAAATTTGAAAATTTTTAATCTGTATTATTCAGTAATTATTTATTTTCCATAAGAATGCCATCAATAATTTTTGTGTCTTCAGAGATTAATTTAGAAATAAAATCTCTTTTTATCATGTTCTTCCTTATGGGAAGAACTTGGTTCTTACATTTCAGACATGATGATTACTTCATCAGTAAATCAAACATCTTCGTTTAAGTAAATACATGACCTTTATTCTTACATAATTTTGTTGCACTCAGCATTGCCACAGCAGTGGATTCTACATAACTGTTTAACATATAACTTGAAAATCCGCCGATGCATAAATCATTTGCAAAGTCTATCAATACATCTGGGGGTAGCAGCAGTAAATATAATTTCTCAAGATTTACAGATTAAAAAAGCTAAAAAACACAATGTTTACCAGCTTTGTTTAGGTATGTGGTTCAACGCAGAACATTTTGTAGAACCCTATATGGAAACTATTTAGCAGGAGATAAATGGAACTACATTGTGACCCTAGACGAAACATGGGTTTGTCTAAATGACTGCAACAAGAAAAAGTCTATTTATTATAGAAAACGAGGAGACAGAAACGTACAAACTCGGTTCCGCCAACGGCAAAGAAAGTTTCGATAAGAGGTTTATGATTGTCCCAAGAGAAATTAAAAATAAGAAAAGAGATAAAAATATTAAAATCCAACTCAACGTGCTATTCAGAAGAAAGTTTTACATCTAATATTTACTGAAAAAAATTCCATTTTTTTATTTCAGTGACATTCAAAGAATGAAATTTCACCAATATAAAACAGTGGCCTACTTAGACCAATATAAAACAGTGGCTTACTATGCAGTGGCCGTCAAAAACTACCACTGCATTCCTTGAAGAAATGAATCCTGATATAGACATTGCATATATAACTTTCAACGTATTCGAAAGAAGCCCCTGATGTTTCACCTGTGGATTATAATGCTTTCTAATCGCAAATACACCAGGAATTGTGGATTCTGGAAAAACAGTTGAAGAGAAAAATGAAATTCAGAGTAGCGTCTCGCCTTAGCAGAACTTATGCTTAACTCATGTAACTCATGTCATACTTCGCTGGCGTAATTGCCTGGTGTCCGTTATATACTATGGCCATGTATCATGAGATTGGCGACTAAAGACATGTTACTTCTCTAAATTTTGTCATACTATGGAAGTTAACCCTGAATTATCAGTCTATTCATTTCTTAAATCTAGCGTTATTATTATGGAAGATATTTTTTTATATTTGGAGTTTTCGAAGTCCTATTCATTTCGACTATGTTGTTTTATATAACAACTTTTTTATTTAGCCTTTTCAATCATAATAGTAGCCTTTTCTAGTTTACTTTATATTGTGCATATTTTCTCAAAATTGTTCCAGTTTGAACAAAAAATATTATGATGAGCTTAGTCAGAATTCTTAGAGGATAGATGAAGAATAAATGCTATAAAGTATACTTTACCTATTAGCAGTCCTTTTGCATTACTAATAGGTAAGATAATGTAATCAAGAATAAGAAAAGAAAGGACCAAACTCTGCGATTTTGCAGAGTGGCTATGAAAAGAGGAACATTTTATGATAACAATAAATATAGAGTGAAATATCAAAGTAAAACAAGAGCTACACTGGAAAATAAATGTAAAATAAGACTAAATTGCGCATGGCAAAGCACTCAAGACTTATTTGCGTAGGATGAGATATGTCTTCGTGGAAAGTATGAACTTCGAACAAGTTTAAAAGGAAAGTCTACGATAACAGTAAACATAGGATGATATATCAGACAAAAATACATTAGGAAATAAATGTGAAATAAGATACGTAAAATTAATTGATTATTGCACGATACAAAAACCTACAACATTAATTCAAAGCAATTCAAAAACATAAACACGATTGGAAAAGGAATACATTTATTGCCGCATATGCTTTTTAAGTCCCCAGTAAATTCCCGAATAGCTGGGCTTACCTGAAAAACAAATGAGTAATTCTTAACACAAAAATATTAAATATTTATCTATACTTTCAAAAAATTAATTTTTGTATATGGAAAAACATTTCAGTTAAATTTGTAGTCGTGAGCACAACGTACACATTTGCCAGCTGTTGACTGTGTGTGGCTGAAGTCAGTATTCATCGCCACGCAGTGAAGGTTACCATGCTGAAAAAATGTCTATTGTGCTTGTGTGAAGCATAAGCTCTATTAAAGTGAGATTCTATTTGGAAATCATTAATCTTCTATCATGGAAATCACAATACAGACCTATACGCTAGAAAAACAGCTATTAGATCGAACATTTAAAAAAAAATTCTTTACATTTTAAACATTAATTAAACGGCTCCAAATTGTTATAAAAATGTGTAATTACCCTCTGTATTACGATCAGTTATTAAATTTCGTTTTTCGTTGTTACATGTTAATAACTTTTGCCCAAAACATTACCTAGCATAAAATTCCTAATTTAGTTCTGTCCCTGAAATGACACATTCCCGTCTAAATTACGCATATACTATTATGAATAAGCATCAGCGTTCAGCATAGCAGAATGCTATCTGATACGCCAGTCCAAGTACTCGAATGGAACCAAAGAACTTGCAACTATGTTAAAGGGAGTCCTTTGTTTCCAAGAAATGAGTTTTACACTTGTCTCGCATAGCCTTGTGTTTACAACACAGAGAAAGCCGAGGATGAAGATAAAAGAAGTAGTAACTTAAAGCTGTTTTTTTTTTTGTAATTTCGATACCTTTAATAGCATACTGAGCGTAATTAATGTGACCTGTAATGACCATAAGACCGACTTGTTTGGTTAAGTGGGTCGGGTTGCGCCCACTTCTGGTACCTTTAATAGCATGAATTAAAATTTGTTGTAATTTTTAAGTTGAAAGTTCTAGGATTTCCGGAAAAAAAGTGTGAAAAATACGAAAAAAATGTCAATATCTTTAAATCTGGTACAAAATAATACTACGTTCGACGCGAAAACGTAGACGTGATAAAAGGAAATTAAACGTGACCAAAAGTTTCTTTCGTTATATCCAGAAGTTCGTTACTAACCGGGTTTATTAAAGTAGTGTCTATCTGTAGCACTAATCTATAGTGAGAGTTTATACAGCCATATGGATAAATATATATTCATCTCATAATGCATAAAAATACAAAGAAAACATTAGAGAATGTGCTTTAGCAGAAAAATATGTGATATGGACACCACATGACTTCTTTGTTCGGCCTATTAAATTATAATGCATTTCATGTAAACTTATTTACGCGAATTTTATCAGAGATATATTTCTTATGCCGTTAATTCAGTTCTCACTTCGCAGCAAGGCAAAAATACATACAACTCAAAACATTTTCATTCGAATTTTAAAATACAAGAAAACCTAAAACACCAAATAAAGTTAAAAACAGTTAAAAAATTAATTTTTCCATTAAAATTAGAGTTACGCATAACCAGCAAAAACAAGCAATTCGGCCAGAGGTCTATGTTTGATAATTCTACAATTATTGCGTGCATATTAATTTAAGACATAAAAACCTCAACCGTAACATAAGAGCAATATAATTAAATAAGTTTTAAAGCAAAAAATATACAATTTACCAATGTATAAGAATAAAAAAACTTAGCTAACCAAACCGGGTAACAGAATGGGTATATATATATATATATATACATATATGGTATATGTAATAAAATACGATGGCTGCTCTAAGAAGTGATTGGCGACCTCAAAATTGACTAATCTAAATTTTATATTCTCACCCTAAGTTCATCTGTTCTCCCAAATTCGAGATCTTTCCATGTTACATAACACTGCTAGCCAAAAGGGAGTTAAAAACCTAAAAGTAATCAATCGCAGCTTAGCTATACATATGGCATCTATGTAGTGTAAATACTACTTCGCTAGCAATTACGT